CGGGAAGTGGGAGGGACAGGGCGGGGCTAGGCGGGGCTCTCCCGTCCTCTTTTTTGCTTGCTGAAATATGGTAACCCTATGTTAGCCCAGGGCTCAGAGGAAACTCTGGCCCCTGTGGAAAGGCATCCAGGAGCCCGTCCCCAGGGCCGCCGGGTCTGACCCACCACTGATGCCGTGTGGTGAGGATGGGCCCCAGGAGTGAGTGACGGGGCCTGCGTCTCACGGCCTGTCTGCTTCCCACTGCAGAGCCCAGCTACCCCAAACCCAGCATCTCCCTGAGCTCCAGCGGGGGGGTCTCCCTGGGGGGAGCCGTGAGCGTCTGGTGTCGGGGGCAGCGCTGGGGCGTGCGGTTCGTTCTGAATAGAGAGGGACGCCATTTCCCACCTGTGGATTCGGACGACAATGAGGCTGTGTTTCCCATCAGCAACGTGAGCCGGGAGCACGGTGGGAGCTACAGCTGCTCCTATCACAGCAGATCGGAGCCAATCACCGTGTCGTACCCCAGCGACCCCGTGGAGCTGGTGCTGAGAGGTGAGGGGCCCGGCTCGGCGTCCCCGTTCCCAGCCCCACCCCCAGCCAGACCCTCACGGGGGCTCAGTGCCAATGGGATGCTCAGAGCCAGAGCCCTGACGCAGCAGAGGGGACACCCGGCAGGGAAGCGAGGACAGAATCACTGGGGGGTTCCCCAGCCAGGAGCAGCAGCCCCTGGAGACTCGGAGCAGGGAGGCTACTTTAACGCTGCCCCTTGTGCATACGAACCGAGAGTCGCTATTTAATCCCGTGATCCCCTCCCCTCTGTTCTCCAGGCTCTGCCCCAGGCAGGGCCCCGGCCGGAGATGAATGGGGCAGGTGCTGCAGGAGAAGCGGTGGCTTGGTGGACACAGTGCTGGGCTGGGACCCAGGAGATCTGGCCCAGCTCCTGGTGTGGCCACAGACTGTGTGATTGGTGCACATCACAGTTGCCAAAAGTGTCCTTAATTGTGGGGAGGCCTCAATCTTGGGGGATCTCAGGCCGAGCACTCACAAACCGAGACGCCCACAGTTAGCAGAGATCTCTGCAAACGCTGGCCTCAATAGCACTGGATCCCTTGTGTTGGGGGAGCATGTAGGGCCCCCGCCATGATCAGGGCCCCGTTGTGCCAGGTGCTGCATAAACACAGAGTGAAGAGACAGTCCCGGCCCCTGGGAGCTCACTAAGGAAAGTGAATCTGTCTGTGCCTCAGTTTCCCTCTGTGTAGAATGGAGATAAAGACCCCTCTCTGCCTCCCAGGGGGCTGACTCCCTTCCTTTGTGGAGCTCGTCTCCTGCGGTGCCGGGCGCCAGAGACCAGCCTGTGAGTTGCTCTCTGCTCGGGGGGGGGGAGGGCTGGATGCAGTGAATGAGGCAGGGGCCACACACGGGCAGATGAGGACCCAAGAACTAGGGAGCTGCGGCTCGGTGTCTGTGGGGCTGGGAGCCCAGCTCGCAGGGCCGGGATTCTGGGTGGGTGGAACTCTAGGATCTGGGAGAGAATCTCTGCCCGGGGGCCACTGGATCTGCCCATGTCTGGGACTGGCCGGGAAGGCCGGGGCGGGGTGGGTACCCGGGTCTGGCTCTCACAGCCTGTCTCCTGTGCGCAGATCCCAGATTACCCAGACCCTCCATCTCGCTGAGCCTCACTGGGGACACCATCCGGTGTCAGGGGCAGCGCCGGGACGTGAGGTTCTTCCTGCACAGGGCTGGAGACCTGAACCCGCAGCGACACATGGACCCTGCTGGGGATGGGGCCGAATTCTTCATCCCCACCGTGGGCCGGCAGCACGGAGGGAACTACAGCTGCAGCTACCGGCCCCAATCAGAGCCCTTCATCTCCTCGCAGCCCAGCGACCCCGTGCAGCTGGTGGTAGCAGGTGAGGGGCCTGGCTCGGTGTCCCGGCTCCCAGCCCCACACCCAGCCGGATCCTCCGGGGGGCTCTGCACTGATGGGATGCTCAGAGCCAGGCTCTGCCCTGAGCCCAACAGAGGGGACACTGGCCGGGGAGCGGGGACAGAGTCACTGGGGGGTTCCCCGGCTGTGGGGAGCAGCAGCAGCTGGAGATTCGGGGATGAACGGGGGGGGATTCCTGCCCCCTGGGCCAGGCGGGGGTAGGGAGAGGAATCTGCCATTGAACCAGCTGTGGAAATGGGTCGTGGTGCCCAGGGGCTGGGGCTCGTTGTGGGGAATGGGGGCAGTTACTCTGGGTTGGTGGGACCCAGACATCAGGGGGAGTGGCAGCCCCCTGCCCCTCACTCACCACCAGACCCCCACTTGCCCCGATGCCTACTACCCTGCCACGAAGTGACTCTTCCCTTCCCCCCACAGTAGCACCCCTGGATTTCACCAACGCCAACGTCGCCCGCCTGGGGCTGGGTGCTGCGGTCCTGCTCGTCCTGGGGCTGATCCTGGCTGAGGCCTATTACAGCCACCCAAGGGGGGCACCCTAGGTGAGGTGGGCCCCCTTTCTGTGCCCCTTGCTCCCCCCAGGGGCTGGGCCCAGGGCAGCATGGGCCCCTCTAACGCACCGTCTCTCTGCACCCCCAGGAGCCTGGATCCAGGCATGCAGGGAAGAGAATCTCCCCGGGGGACAAGTGGCTTCCCCGTGGGGTGCTGAGACACCGGCACAAACCCCCCTGCTCCCAAACACCCCTGCCTCAGAGAATCTCCCCCACAAACAGCTCCCGACCTGACAACAGTGTGACGGGTTCATTCACAGAGACCCCCCTTGGGACTGTTACCCGAGCCCTTTTTCTCTGCCAGTTTGGGTGTCCAGAACCCTGCCTTGTTGAGCTAGCCTGCTGCAAACACAGACCCAGGGTCTGAACCATGCCCCCAAAGCTGCAGACTTAACTGAAAACAGCTTAAGAAGTGCTCCTGTCTTCAGCACCCAGACACCCAGTTCCCAATGGGATCCAAACCCCATATAAATCCATTTAACTCTGTATAAAGCTTATACGGGGTAAACTCATAAATGTCCGCCATCTATAGCACTGATAGAGAGATATGCACAGCTGTTTGCTCCCCCAGGTATTAATCACTTACTCTGGGTTAATTAATGAACAAAAGTGATTTTATTAAGTATAAAAAGTAGGATTTAACAGGTTTCAAGTAATAACAGGTACAACAAAGTAAGTCACCAAGCAAATTAAAACAAAACACGCAAGTCTAAGCCTAATACATTAAGAAACTGAATACAGGTAAATCTCACCCTCAGAGATGTTCCAATAAGCTTCTTTCACAGACTAGACTCCTTCCTAGTCTGGGACCAATCCCTTCCCTGGTACAGCCCTCGTTACTTCCAGCTCAGGTGGTAACTAGGAGATTCCTCATGACTGGCAGCCCCCTTTGTTCTGTTCCACCCCTTTTATAGCTTTGGCACAAGGCGGGAATCCTTTGTCTCGCTGGGTTCCCACCCCTCCCTCTCAATGGAAAAGCACCAGGTTTAAGATGGATTCCAGTTCAGGTGACATGATCACATGTCACTGTAACACCTCCTTCTTCGTAGCCTAGTAGCTGGAAGACAGGTACATAGGAAGGTTTGCAGGTAAACAAACCCATTCACAGTTCACGTTGATTCTGAAGCACCCATAACGGCTTCTACTTAACATGTTTACATTAGTAATACAAGTTTATATCTTATTCTCCTAACTCCAGACATAGAAATAATACATGCAAACAAATGGGATGAACACACTCAGTAGATCATAAGCTTTGTAATGACACCTTACAAGAGACCATTTGCATAAAGCATATTCCAGTTACATCGTCCCCCCGTCCATCCAGGGCCACACTGGGCAGGGTGTGTTTGGCCCTAGCGCTTTCCCAACAGGCGGCTGCATCATTAAATCTCCCAGGATCACCAGGGCTCATCACCCAGCCCCAAGCCGGTCCCCTGCCATCCCGCAGAATCGCAAACAGCCCAGCGCCCTGAGACAGAGCCCTCAGCCCCTGTGTGTGGGGCGCTGCGTCTGGCCCCAGCACTAGAATAATGGCACTTACTGCCCCCCAGGTGTCTGTCCCCCTCCTCTCTCTGCGGCGGGGTCCCCCAGCGCCTTTTCTCTCCCCCTTTCTCCCTAGACCTCCCCCACCCTGTATTTCTGTTGTACAAACCCCCAGAGCTTCCTTCTCCCCTGCCCCCCAAATCTCCCCACCCCAGGGGGCGGCTGTGATACCGGAGCCTCTAAATGTGCCCTCGTGGGGGGTTCAGCCGACGAAGGTGAGTGAGAAATTCAGGCAGCGTCAAGAGAACCTGGACAAATGAATGCTGAGGGGAAAGTTGGCGAGACAGAAAGATGAGATTAGTCCAACCCGAGCGGCTGCTGGACAGAACCCACGGGCCGGGCTGGGGCCCACCTGGGACACTGGAGAAGTGGGGAAGCAGAAATCCATGACCCAAAATTGGGGTGTCGGAAACAAGGCCTTGGTGGATAAAACATTGTGGGGACAATGAACAGGGCTGGGGCCGGGGCTGGAACAAACCCCTCGTTTCACACGGCGCCTGCCACGGCTCCCCTGGTTCCTGCTCTGCTGGGTCTGTAACAGCCGGTCCCAGGGGTCAATGGGAGATTTGCCGTGGGGCTGCGGACTCTGGACCCCTCCCCCAGCCCGTGTTTAACCCTGTTCAGTGTGGGGCAGGGGCT